GCTATGGGATATTTTCTGTTCCTGTAGTTTTGCTGCAGCTTCATTATTGTGCAGCGCCATAGATTTCTGCACAATCTCTTTTGGAGTAATACTTGTCTGATTTTTTGAAAATCAGAAAAAAAMCATGGTCCAATCTTAACAAAAAGATAACCTATGGTTGGAAGAAAACAGGCCCAGCCACACATTTTCTTTGTTGCCTTGGGCAAGTCACTTCAGTATCTAGGATATTATAGCTAAATGTCGGCTTTCCGTTTAGACACAAAGGCTCTCACTGTGTTCAGCAGGAAATGATCATGCTTTAGAGCTGGCTTTAGTCTTACCCTGTGTTYGACTTTTCCTGTAAAATAGGGATTAGCAAAATAGTCTTAACTCACCCAAAGGTGTTGATATATGGGGTGGCTATGCCCAGCCATACGTGCACCAGTGTTTCCACAGAGCTTTCATCCTGGATTCAGCTCATATATATATGAACTCAACAAGGGGAAATGAGGTGGCCATGGATTGCAGGCAGTCAGATAAACTGTTCCTTAGGTGATAATTAGCATGGATAGATATTCTTCTGTKGAATGAAATCATATATAATCTTAAAATAAACTTTTTTTTTTTTTTTTTAGTTAAAACACGGAAGTGAGCAAGAATGTTAGAAACAAGTGTTTCACATTTGACACCTTATAAGCAAGGAATGTTTAAAAAGCAATCATCAGCACTTTAAAACAGTCAGATAGTTAGATATACAGAATGTGAGGATCTGTCTAGAGGTATTTAAACACCATTCAGTTGAAATATCAATCATCAGTCAAAAAGGTTTCTCCTCTTTTTTGTATTCCATATATTTTTCATTGAAAGATATTTTGCTACTTTTTGTCTGTCACTGGTTCCATAGTTCTGCAGTGATTTCTAAGTTAGAACTTTTGTCCAAGAGGGGGACATAGAGAGACATGAGTCCGAATAGCTATGTCAGATGATAGACGTTCTGTGAGCTATCAGCATATTAAGCTGAAGCAACAATGGTGTGCTAGTGTTGAGCCTGAATGATGCAATGAGTTTGCTGCTGCCACTGCTTGCTAAACAGGTGTCAATACAATTGGTAAGATAGTTTTAGCTTATAGGTTGGGAGACACCTCGCCCTGTCAAAGATCTTCCATGCTAGGTCTATAAACCCACAGTATGGCCTAAAAATATTGAGTAATTGTTGACTCCATTATCCAAAAGTACTTATTACTGAATGCATTTTAGAGAAACGTGTATCTAATTCCCACTTTAAAATCGCGGATTTTAATGATAAGTTTTTATCATATTAACTTGCCTTCAAGTAACACAGACCTTTTACTAGAAGTTTCCAAACACTGATAGTATTACAAATGAAAAATTGGGAGACAGAAGAAAGGGTTTTCTGAAAATAAATTCACAACTTCTAAAGGTAATTCTGGTTGGAATCTAATATCTAACAAAATGTTGTATTGCAGTTAGACTGAAGTAAATCATATCACATCATCTGTATTCACAAACTCTAGCCACATACAGTGCAACTTAATTGAGATATTAAATTGAGTAGTGGTTATCTGTGCTAGAGAATTAATCTATTACAAATTTCACATCTCTTCCCCTGCCTACAACCCAAAATGTCATAATAGATTTTATTAACCCAGTACATGCTATGTGTCAGCTGGAGTCTGTGGGGGTTCTGCTTTTTATAGCAGGATTTATGAAAAGCAATACAACATGAAGTTGGTTGGCCTCRTGAGTCTCATTTAGTCTATAACATATATATATATATATACTGAGTCTAGGGAACTTAAAAAGTTGCACAGAGGATTTGGAGATATATTTCTTTTCTCTTAAATATAGTTGCTTTCAGTTTGAATGAGACACAGCTCATGGCCTTTGAAATCACAACCAGGAAGTTAATGAGAGAAGTATTAATCTTCTTAAAGAAATTTACAACTTCTTTTTAAACTAAGTAATAAATTCACTTTAAATCATTTTCCACAAGTTCTTCTCTGACATTTTAAATTCTATGTTTGCATGATAACAGTGACAAGGATTTCCAAATATAAAAGATGCAATCAGGATGGATCCTGCTAAAACAAACTGCCAACATTTCCAGAGAAAGTCTGTCATATACAAAATTGTTAGCTAGTGAAGTCAAGGTACTTTTTTTGATCTGCTTGAGCCGTGATATCAATATCATTAATTCCCTAAAAGAAAAAGCAATTCCACACAGTTTATTTTCAAGGATTTGTGATAAGTTGGAGTAATATATAGCAAAATCAAATGACTGTAGCTCTCATCTTCATATAGCAGTGAACCACTAGCTGGTATATATACAAGGGATAAAAGTATTGAGACTGACTTTTCTCTCAGTTACTTGAAATTAAATGAGGAAACGAGGAAAATGCCTACTGAATATTTTCATTGAAAATGTATTTTAAAGTAAAGGAAAAGTAAGAATGCATATTTTCCTCTGTGCACACACATATGCATAGTAAAATCTAATATTTATAGTTCTGGGTTTCATTTTCTATATTAATTATTATTTTAGTCCAATTTATTGGAGATGTTTTCTGGTTTTTTGCTTGTTTTTTTTTTTCCAAGAACTATGTTTCAGGCTTCTAAATGTTTTGAAAAGATTTAAACCTATTTCTTAGCTAGGAAGTGGAAGACGCCAGGCACTCAGCAGCATGAAAATAAAAGGAATTTCAGGAATTTCATTCTTGACTCTATCAGAGTTACATTAAGCATCTATTTGGCACCACACTGCTAAGGATCAAGGACATATAACAAAAAAAATAAAAATAAAAAAAAAAAAAGACTTACTATTAGCATTTGCATTATTTACAATAGTTCAATTTTGAAGATATTTGCAAGGTAGAGCGCCAGTATTTTTATAAGTGGCAGAAGCTCAGTATTGCGATAAAGTTCAGCAGTAAAAGGGTGATTAAAAACAAGCAGTTTTTAATCGACTTTCATTGAAAAGCTGAGATTGAAAGCAAAACAAACTCACCAGTTTTTTGGGTTTTTTTTTTTTTTTTTGAATTCAGATACTGTGTTCCACTGGGAGCAAAAGTCTTTAAAGCATGGTATTTTTCACTATTTGCTATAAATTTCCCCTCTGTCTGCACATTTTCCGAGACACTATCTATGCATAAATATTTGTCAATTAATTGCTCATTATTGTAATAGTGAGTATGCTGTACTATAGAAGAAATAAAACAAATAAGTGGACAATATTTTTTAAGAAATATATTGACTGTATTTCCTCTCCCTAATCATGCTATTTCAGACTATGATGAGAAATAACTTATTTTTCTGAAGAAGAAAATGAAATAGCCAAGAAAACTACTTATATGCTTGTGCTATTTCCCCTCGTTCCATTAAGGATTATAAATCTACTGAAGGATGTTGTTGTATGCACTTGCCTGTACTACAGCATGTTTATTGCTGGCTGTGTCTAGATCGATAGTCTTTCTGTGATTCCTAGATATAGCACCCTGGGTTGATGTTGGCTGAAAAATAGTATGAATGAGAAAAATCCTGTCCTTAAAATACAAGATAATTTTGAATACAACCAAGATACTTGCTAAAGACATGGCAGAAGCCCTATGAATGGTAAGTTCAGTAGTCCTATACCCAGAAAAAAATATTTTATATTGTAGGAAAAAAAGAAAAGAAAAAAGAAGAATCCTTTGTATTGTTTTCATAAGCTCAAGAGACATATTAAACAAAAATGTTTTCAGATTTCAGTAAGGCTATCGAAATGGAGGCTCTATATATTTGAAAAATTCATCCATGATGGATTAGATTCAAATCTGCATGGTCAAGTGAATCAAATATTTCTTATTATAGGCTTTAGAGAAGTTTTCTGGTGTTTCTCTGAGATAAACTCAGACAGTCATCCCTCAGTGATACCTTACATTTCTCTATTACTGCCATAAGAAAGAATGAATGCTGCAGATAGTGAAGGAAAAAATCGTCCTCAGTTAAGTAAAGACAAGTTTTGTTACTGAAGTGGCATAACTGCCTGCTATAAAGGAAAACGAGAGGTGACGAATAGAAATCAGGCAGGGAGATTTTCTGACAGTTACTAAGGTAAAGGTGCTAGCCTTGGATTCATTAAGCATATTTGCAYTAAAGGAAAATTGAGACTGTAACATAAAGGATGCAAAAGTTAAGAAATGCCAGAATTCAAGTGCAGTGTGCACTCTCTAATTTATCCCTTGCGTGCATGCCTTAATTACATGATCACGTTATCTCTTTTTTTCCCCAGGAACCCGATCTCATTCAGAGCTGGTGGCTCAGTTGCCAAATCTCTAATGAATGTTTTCAAACTGAGCTTCCCCCCCCCAACACTGTGTTCTGTTTTCACTATGTGTGTATGTTTATTGAATTAGAATATTTTACTCTCTGGAATAAAGATTTTTTTTTTCTACATGTAATCTTTCTTTGCTAAAGTGTAGGCCCTATAACTTTTCCAGGAGGCATAGTCTGTTTTTAACCTCTGTAAAGGTAGTGATTCTCCCCTGAAATGTTATTGCTAAAAATGTTTAAAAAAAAACAGCCAGAATAGTAAGCATTTGGCAAATTCAGAAGCATCTGCAAAGCGAACATACCTCAGGAGTGATGATCTTAGTTATTGGTAGGACTTCTAACTGCATAGTAATGATCCATTAAAAAACAGGTTGCAAAAATAGGTTCCTTTACAGTACGGCTGTACATTTGTAAAACTCCTTGMCAGTAGCACTGCAGATTCAAGAAGGTGCAGAGAATAGTGGACAAATACTTGGCAAATAGATCCATGGAGAGGTATTAAATTGGTAAAAGATATTGACAAAAAAAAAAAAAAAAAAAAAAAAAAAAAAAAAAAAAAAGGGAGGCGGGGGGGGAAGCCCACTTTAGAGCAATGGTGCCTTTCACCTGGAGATCATTTAGCCAATAGTTCAGCTGCAGATGGTGATGTGTAGCTCTTCTGTGGTATTATCCCCAGCCATGCTTCAATTGACCCCGGTTCTTTTGGCTATAAGATACTGAGCCGATGGACATGAATAACTGAGTGCCCTATGCTCATCTATTGAGTCTGCTTGTGGAGCCAGTGACAAACCTGAGCTAGAGCAACTGAAGCCCTGCTTGGAAGGTGTGTGACTGCACCTTAAACTTTACCTTGCTGMCTTGTTTTCTATTATCTGACTTTCTTATAGAGAAATAACTGATGTTAGTCTAGATGGAAAATCGGTCTGAACCAGTTCCACTATTTTTATGTTGCCAATAACATACAAGGGTTTGATAGACTCCTTTTTCCAGAGAAATATTTCGTACAGTGCAGTCCCAACAGCTGTTGCATAGTGAATGATGATCTGTGGCTGGAAAAGGAAGAGCAGAAAATATTCCTGCAGGATAGAAGAAGAATAGTGTTCCTATTGTATTCTTTCTGATTCCTACCTGTAGGTGGTATAGGAAAGGTTTTCTAAAATTTTGTGAGAACTAGCCATCCAAGTGCTGAAGTGTTTTTCCAAGGGCCCCTCCCTAAACAATTTCWATCACTATTATTTACATTAAATTTCAGTGCTGGACCATTTTAATCATTGCAAACTAGATTAAACTTGTGTTAGCACTGTAGTATAAGAAAAGCCAATACTTTTCTTTTATTATTATTACCTGTATATGAATAAGGCACTCTAGGCATCTTACAGTGTCTCCAGACTTCTAGTTACAGCCACTTTGAGGGAGGTCTTGCTGTATGCAGGGAATTTTGAGAAGAGCAGCTTGAAGACAAGCAGAACAGTGAAGAAAGCTTGAGCAGTTCATTGTACGTAGCTTGTCTGAACAAGTGCCAATGCATAGAAACATCCATTTGTGAGGACTTGGTGCTTGTAACTATCAAGGAATTGAATTGTTCTTGGAGTGGTGGAAGCATAATTTAAGAATAATAGAATGAAACTGATAAAAGAAATAGAAATTAGTCTCAGGATCATTCTAATTAGTCTCAGGACTATTCTAAGTGTGAGGTCAGGTGGACCGCAAGTCTCCCACGGGGAGACTCCCAGCATGTGAATCACTTAATACTGAACCAGCAAAGGTCTTGAATGCACTCAGTCATTCAGTGTCAGCACAGAGAAAGGCAGAGTGCTCTAACAGAGCTTTATTCACTATGCTAATATGTGGGATTCCTTTTTACCTTACAAAAAGTTATTCATCAGAGACACCTTGAAGTTAATATAAGCTCCTTGAAGCTTCCTAAGCTCCTTTAGAAATAATGATTGTGTGACTCTACTTTTGAACCAGTTTCTTTGCGAACAAGAAAACAAATTTCATCCATTGTTAAAACTCCCTCTACTCAAATATACTACTCTCTGCTTACCTTTGATTATAATGTTAATTAATAGAATTCCTATGCTATGCATATGATGAATATAACAATTCTCCTGTACTGTGACAAAATGTACGTTGATTGTGTACCAACAAATTTCTGTTCGCAAGGATTTAGGCAGAGCTCACATACAGTCTACAAGCCTCTGTATGTCTGATCGCAGAAAATACCGGGAGACATATATGAGGACAGATACACTGTCTCCATACAATTAGTCCCCATACAATTAGTGGGCCGTTATTGACTTTCCTCTCTGACAGCAAAAGACAGCTCAAATTTCCTAGGTGATAAGTTACTTTTGCTGCTTCTGGTGCAGCTAGCCACATATTTCAACTGAACTCTGAATAGACTTGTCCTGATATGTCAAGTTAATGAAGGTCAAGATAGGTGTGTTACCTTCGCTGCTAGGATGTAGCAGCCCCATTGCTCTATACTTACCAGCTCATTCTTTTTAGGATTTTTTTTCTTTGTGCCATCAAGTGGATGCTAATCGTTACTGCATCTGTAAACCAAAAAAAAAAAAAAAAAAAAAAAATCATAATATTTCACAGAACAAATAGTCTCTTGGGCTGTGTAATATTTCATAACATCTTTTCTGAGGAAAGACTTGATAAGTGGAAGAAAATTTAAACGAATAGTGACTAATAAAATAGAACAAATTCTGCAAGTTTCCTGAGACAGACTACCAATGTCAAATCAAAATTTAATATGAAGTCAAATAGATTGGATGTTTTCTCGAAGTAGAGAGCCCACACATTTAGATTTGGTTTGATAGTTTCTGACAAGAGGTATACTATACACTAAAGCAGAAATTATAATATAAGCATTTGTTTAGTGGAGCTCTTATTTTTATAAACAGAATAAAGTATCCTGATACACTATATTAAGTAAGATATCTCACTAGGACACACAGACCAAAGATCCATCTGCTGTTACTTGTCCACAGGATTCTCAGGATGCATCAAGCTCCAAAAGTTTCCTCAAATGTATTTTTCTCAGAGATTTTTGTTTAACTTTCTTCATTATTGCACCTTTTATTTTCCTTTGTTCTGATTTTTAAAAATAATTATTTTTTTCTTTTTTAATCATAGTTGTATTTTCGTAACAGATGAAAATAGCAAATGCAATTATAATTATGAGGGACAATAAATAATATCTGACTGAAACAGTCAGGCTACCACATTCATCTCAAATATATACAGAATAAACACAACAAATTATCTTTGGTTTTACTAGTCCTAATTTTTTCTTCAGTGATACTAGCTTCTTTCTATTAATAAGTTTTCTGAAAGRAGTTAGCTTTTTTAAAATGTTGTTTTTATTTCAATGCATGAATTAAATAATGCATGTGGCTGATTCCTGGCTTTTAGATTTTTGATGAAGCTTACTGTTAATTTACATTATACTAAATATGAAATTCAAAAGCTGTAAGATACTTTTTCTGATGCCTGCTAAGTAACATTTACTTTCAGATTTGGTTTTCTTCATCTACTCTGAATTATAAATTTACTTCTTTCTTTGAAACGCAGCATGTACATAGAGCTCATTGTKTCCATGAACAGTGCTGCAAGTAAATTCACTGCCTGAGATGTTAATGGAAAGCAATGACAGAGTGGTGCTAATTCAGCCAAACAAAATATAGCAAGCTCTTACCTCAAGTTACTCAAACCAGCATAGCATCCTTTTAGTCTGGAGTTATTTTAGATGATATTGGTATATTGTATGCAAAAGCTTGAGATATTCACAGAAAATTATAAGACTCATTAGCTAGCAATACAATTTATCTTCAAATATATTGCAGTCTTTCCTATCAGCCCTTGTAAACCACTTCTCAGTGAAGTGAAAGTTTTAACATCATGTGTCATTTCTTCTTTCTTCTGTAATATTATTTTCTTCTGTTCTTACTGAATGGCAGCTCTTCCTTCTTTCAAAAAGTACTTCAGGTAAAAGTCTTTTTCTTGCAGATGTCAAAGGTAACTACAAAACCAAAGTAGATCAATACCCTATGTTCCAGATGAAACAACTCCATTTTGGGGTCAGTGAGATCAATGCATTGATTTGGAAGCCTGAAATCCCACAGAAGTGTGTTCAGCAACAGCTGGTGGCACCGAGTATTAGGCCTCTGCGCCTGGATCTCWTATTGATTTTTAACACACATTTCAAATTAATTAGCTAAAACTTCTGTTCAGAATGAGTGATACTTGGACTATGTAATATTTGTGACTTGTCCCTAGATATTTTTCATGTGGTATGAATAGCCTGTGGTATTCTGAGTCCCATTTTGCTTGGCTGTTGTTGGACACATGGAGGGCTGTTGTATATGATAGGGTGTTACCCTACAGAAAGACAGTATTTCACTTACAGCATGCTTAGGATCTCATTGTGCTGCATAGTCACTTGTGATTTACTACAAACAATACATTTTAGTTGAGGGTGCCTGCAGCCATTCCTTTCTGCAACAGCAGGATGTGTCTTGGGCTATTCCAAATCCTCAGCTTATGTGATCAGCAAAGCCCCATGCCATGTGTTCATCAGAGCTATGCCAATTTAGCCTGAACTGCAAATAGAGTCCCAAAAGTTTTACARTTTTGCCTTTCTAATTTGGATATAAAAATACTCATAGATTCTACCCACAAGTTTAAGATAACTGCTGTGAGGCACATGTTCAACATCACATTAGGCACCATTTTATKTCTTTGCAAGGATATAGTTAGGTCAAAAAATTTCCAGAATTTGCTCTGAGAAAACATGTTCCAGTGATATATTAATATCTAGTCTGATTCCTGCTGAACTGATGAAGTAATTTAGCTCTTGTGAGCCCAGTGCCAATGCTGCAAGAATAAAAAGAAAGAGACTCACAACATTCATGCTTATACATCATCAACATGACCAGCACTATGTTCCCTCACTTACTGCCATTGTTTTTAGGACTGTGTGACAGTTTGCCCCTTGCAAATGTGATGACCCAGAGAGTGTTTTCCCTAAAAATAGGGAATTGAAGCTTCTGGCTGAGAAAATGAGCGTGTTCGTAGGCTACCGCTTGTTGATTTTAGCCACTCGTGGGTAATTCTGCTAGCTTTGGTAATGGGTTGTCAGCCCTGAGCAGACGGCCGTACACAGGCGCCGTGGAAGTTTGTTGGAGCTGTGTCTCGACGAGATGAATTCTAATGAATCTCGCCTCTACACGCCAGAGCTTAATCCCTATTCAAAAGGGATTAGTATTCAAATTTATCATAGAATCAAGAATGATTAGTGGTCTATCACATACAGTATGTCACCGAATATTCACCGGAAAGCTTGGGTCGCTGCATGTTTGTTTCTTAATTTTGTGATTTTCGCTCCGTTAGCGGAGCAGCCTTTTCTAGCCGTTGTCATTTGCCGTTAGAAATTAATGATACAAGTGTCTTGAGGAGCTAGTTAGGGAAAACTTTTGAGTCCGGCTGCTCTGCGTGACACTTTGCAGCTGTATGCTAATGACGAGAAAAGTTTTTCCTTTCCTAGGGGAAGGTCGGTGTGGATGCTGGTTGGGTGCATTGGCTCGGGAGATGTGGGCTTCATCCTGCCTGTCTAAAGGAGTTTCTAATGGGACATTTGATCACAAGCACATGCTGCAGAGGAAGGCTTGAAACAGAGCCTTTGACTGAAGAAGACTTGCTGCTATTGGCATATGGATAGTCCATAGAAATGCTCTTTTAATGTTCCTCCCCTTATAAAACAGTGCAGGCTGTTTTTTAAAAACTTCTCTGTTAAGCTTGAATCTTCTGAGAGATGGGGTAGAACTAGTTCAGAAAAGATTAGGAAAGGYAGTACAAGTAGGTAAATGCTTAGCATACTAGTTCAAATTGGCAGTGCTTGCAATTGTAAATGAAACAGTTCCTGAGGCCAGAATAACACTTAAAATCAAATTTGCCCACAAGAATCTAAAGCTCTGATAGTGTTTTGCAAGATTTGATAAAYGCATTTCGAGAGCACTTTCCTGTCCTCCCCTCCTGTCCATAATTATGTGGAAAGAATAGGAAAAATATTATCTCATAGCAGTAGGGGGTACTGAGCACAATTAAGAACAGTATTTTTCCCATTTCTATGTTTAAAAAAAWGTCAGGTAAAATATTATCTAACATAACACTTGTTAATAATTTCTGTGGTGGTTCCTGATTCAAAGTACATTGCGATCAATGAACAAACTGTCTTTGACCTCAAGTGTGTGAAAGATTCAGTTCTTAAGAAGGTTAAATAACAAGCAGAAGAGGGAGGAATGTTATCAGTGGAAAAAAAAAAAAAAAAAAAGGAGAAGAGAAGACAAAGCACCCACTTAGCATATGGATTGCTTTGTTAGAAAAAAAATCTCATTGTGAGCTTTTAAGAAGCAGCTCAGTGTTTATTATGTACATACTTGCATAATGTAAAAATAATGTAATATTTCCAAAGGGTTGCACTTCAGATCAATTTTCTCTTCTGCTAACTTGTAGATAGAATGATCTGGTTTCTGTTCMTGGTTTCTGTCCAGTACCTCACAGCTACATGAAACACACACACATATGCATATATTTTTGTGTGCTTGYATGCATCTATACGTATGTTTATATAGGTATATAAAAACTGCAAGCAAGGGGTGGTAGAGGAGAGCTAACAGTATGAATCAATGTTTATTCACTCTCTCTTCAGCTGGATTCAATATATACAAGGAAAAAAAAAGTTGCAAGGCAAACTTAACTGCATGAAAGATAAAACAAATGTGTAGATGTGATATGTCAGTAATGTGGTGTTATTTTCTATTTCCTTATATATAGTTTGGGGACTTGATGTTTCCTGATTTCAGACAATGGGAGCATTTGCTTTGGTGCCTTTTACTGCTTTCTCAGGCGTTTCTTGTCATGCTGGCATTATGTTTATAGATGCAGTTACCATAAGGCATTAATTGAAAGCTTGAATTTTCAAATATATTACATAAGTATTTAAAATCTTAGTGTGCACGTATATACTTAACTTTTATCAGCCAATAAATTAGATGTAGATTATGTTTAAAAATGTTTGTCAAAGTGAATCAGTAGTTTATACACAGAGAGGAAAACTGGGTGTTGGGCAGTGTTACTCTTTTACTTCATTGAGTGCCAGCTCCATTTGCTATCTCTCCACTTAATACCATTATTCTGAGGAAAATAAACTATTCATAGTCAGATCACCTAGTATAAATGAGCCTGCATCAGAGCGTATTATCATGTGGCAATATCACCTCTGCAACCAGCTAACTACACTGAGGGAACTGGGATATCTTGGTGAACTGGAAGCCATAAAAGCGGTGAGAAAACCTCTAGGAGGTGTGACATTCCTGTTATAACAAACCATGCTGGATCATCTTGGTGGTCACACAGAAGCCAAATAAACATTGAATAGGCATGTCCCATCCCCCAACATCTTCCATCAAATCCTGTATTAATTTAAATAAGAAATACTATACAGTGTGCTGGAACTGGGAAGYTGTTCCTTACCACTAGCAAGTGATTATTTCATACCTCAAAGCATAGAATTGGATTAGTTTATTTGCTTAGCTTTCTTGGTACAGTGTTCAGGTTGTGGAAAATGTCTTCTAAAAATCTAATGACTGATGGATATTTCAAAATAATGTTTCACTTGTGGAAGGTTCATGATAACAAAGTAGGAGGGAATAAGTAGTGCCAGGGGTCTAGGAGGAGAAAAGGCAATGAGAAAGGATTTCAGAAAGATTAGAGGATGCTGGCTCAGGAGGTAGTCTTTTTTTATTTTTTCTTTTTTTTCTGGAAATCCTGCCCTTCAGTAGCAGAGACAGACTGAATCAAGCATCTGGAAGATGAAGGGCTAAAACAGTGTGACTATGCAGTGAGGGTAGACTCTATGCACTGTTAGGCAGAATAACTGAAAAGGGCATATGGCCTGCAAGTGTTAATTGCCACCTTCTTCATTAGCCCCACTGGGAACAGATATTTTGATTCTTCTCCGGACTTCCATGGCTGGGGAGATGTGAGCTTCTGCTTTATGGGAACCATAGCAGCCAGAAAGGGGGAGGACAGCCAGGCTCCTAGAGCGAGAGGTGACCATTGGGGTGGCCTGTGGTGGATAAAAGGCAAAGCAGATATCTAACTCATTCCTAAAACCTGCTTTCAGAACACAGCTTACATGCCTGGCTAAAACTACCACTTGTGACCAGTAAAATCACTTAGCAGCTTGATGTCCGTTGCTGGAGGCTCATACCTGGCAAAATATGTTCTTAGCGCCTGCTGTGCTGCTGTTTTGTGAAATAGCAGCAAAAATATTGCACTGTCCTTTGTGCCCTCAGAACATCCTTGTTTGGCCTGAACAGCTCAGAGAATCTCATCTCTTCTGCTGCAGCAGTTTTCTTCCCCTTTCTAGTGCTCCTGAACGCTACAACCAAATAATACATATAGGGATTTAGCTAAATCCCTTTCCTGGGTAATTATTGATGAATCTTGGCAGTTTGGAGTTAGTATAGCTAAAAAAGGGAACGAAAGGAGAAAAGGCTTATAGCGAGGTCTTTTCTGACTCTCTTCTATACCTCAAAATAAGAGAAAACTTTGTAATTGCATGTTGCATTAGTTTAGAGGGGTAAAAGAGTAGCTGCTCTGAGACAGTCTGTGAAAGGGAGAAAGCAGTAAATCAGCAAAGTCAAACCCGCAATCCTATTTATCATCCAGTCAAAAAGTTTTACTATATCCTAATTACTGTCTTGTCTTCTCTCCTCTTGGGTCTGTGTGGTTTAAGCAGTAATCCTATTCCTTGTTTGAGGGATACCAATTTGCCTTACAGGTGCGTCACGTTGGTTTGCATACATTACTTAAGTCTTGGTAATATTACAGCATGTTGGCTCTGCAGCTGGCTCTGCTATTGCTAGAGCTGTTATGGATTATGCTGTCTCTGTCTCCTGACCAGGTATTAATAGAGTTTCCTCAGTAACCCACAGTGATTAATGAGATGAGAAGATAAAATACTCCACCTGCTGCAGCAGCCATGAAAACTGAATTAATGAGTAGGGAAAAAAAGGGGGAAAAGAGTCTCGAGGATTCAGTGTACTGTACAAGCCAGATCAGCTGCTTATTTGCCTCAGCTCCTAATGATGCTGTTTGCGAATGAGTTAGTGCTTCCTGAATTAGCACGCTAGCAGACAGTCAATCCAGGGAAAATTATGCATTACTACGATAATTGCTGTATACCATAAAAAATGCTTATCTATCTTCAAGACTGTAATCTTAGGAAAAACACCTTATACTCATTACTCTATTGTGTATTATTTAAGTAGAGTAAATTGCCTATAAAAGTACACAATGGAATAAATGCATTGATGAGAGTTTTAGTAGAGAATGTGCATCGGATGTAATGGACACATGTGAGTTTCCAGCATTTTGTTGTAAAATGAAGGACAGATCTGTTTTACTACAGTAAGTAGTTTTCTCTAATTACTGTAAGGTTGTGCTCCAAATGTGTGAGTATGTTGAAAGCATGAAAAAATATTCTTAATCATTATTTAAAATGTTATTTTATATTTATTGCTAAAAATTACATTTTTAAAACTTTAAAATTAGATCTGTTTATTTTCCATGTTCTGTTTAAATGAATATAAATCTTATCAATCCAAATCCAAACAGAATCCACAGGAGCTTTATCAAACAAATAAGCWGCCCTGTGTTCTCTTTACATAGGTCATCCTTTCAGCATATCTGCAGAGTAATCAACTCAACCTCCTGGACAGAGAGGAAATCCAGTGATTGAAAATGTAGTCACTACTGCTGTTGCTTATAGAAGTGAGGAATCTCAGTAGCCAGGTAGAAATGTAAAGATTTTTACATTTTAAAAGCTCCCATTTTAAAACTAGTTTATCAACTTCATCTACTTCAACTTTTCTTTTTTTTTTTTTTTTCCCTTCCCTCCCAGAGCTGCAAAGTTTTGAAGACATTGTTTGCAGCTGATTTTTGAAACCAACGCTTGCAGTTTTCAGTGAACAGTCAGGAACTGACATCTGCAAGCGAGAGTTCTCACACTCAGCTACTGACTGCCAGCAGTCTTTCCACTCTTATTTCCATGGAAACTGCTCAAGGAAAGTTTGTGGAAAGTTTATATTTTTAATTCCTTAGCCTATATTCACCCAGTCATCCAACACACAAGGATGAGAACTGGCCCACAGCATCCAGCAGAGTTTAATTAGGAAGGGTGCTTTTAGCAGTTGGGGTCTAACCCTGAAATATGATTTGAAATTTGTTTGGTGTAGCTTCCTGTTGTGATATTTTTACCCTTCTTTGGTTTTGTTTACCTATAAGTCTCAAAAAGTTTGTTGTGTGAGTTGCATAGTAGCCACTTTTTTATTTATGTGGAAACTAATCAGAGAAACTAATAGCAAGTTGTAGATCACTTAGATTTTATGTCCATTCTCTTGATACTAGCCACAGTGTAGCTCAAGGAAGATGTTATGTGTAGATATGGTAGCTATTCAGTTCAGAGTTTTGTTGTCGTCAAAAAGATGACACTGTACATCTTTCTAATGCTCTGAATCTGTTCTCTTTTAGCACAATATGTACGTGAAGTACTTTGGGCCTGAATCTGATTTCATCTCTTCCTTAATCTTATCCTATCTTTAATATATATTTTATAGTCATATATCTTCCTAACATCTCATTCTGGATCCAGATCAACTCCATTTACCAAGTGTGAGTGCCAGCAGATACCTCAGGAACCATGTACCATGGCATTGTATAGTCTCCAGTGACACTGATGAGGCTGCCCAAGAATAAAAATATTGCAGATTCTGGAAACATTTCTATTATAAGTAAATGAATTTCTTGAATACATTTAGTCCTATACAACACTCAATTGTGTTAGCAAATATTGACTCTCATTAAAAAAAAAAAAAAATCAATGTTATCCAATTTCTTGAGCAGTTTTCCTAACAGTGCATGGTCTCATTAGTCTATTGTTTCTGGCAGCCTTAAAATGGTCGACAGTTCCAGTAGGGGCTGTATTAATCCAGTGTCGGTGAATATAGTTAAGATGTATACTAAAAAATAACTCCTGCAAAAACATTGTGATGGATAGTAATAAAAAATTTAGCAAATATTATTTGATTATTTTGCTGAATAATTAAAAAAACAGAAATGTAGTCAGGGAAAAAAAGCGAAAATTTGTAATATGAATAATTCATAATGAATAATTCATCCATTCCTGCACCATATAGAAATGTTTTTGCTAATCTGCACATACATTTATATCTTTTCTTTAAAACTTCTGTTCCAATGGCTCCAGGCAGTGTTCAGCAGCTGAATAAATCCAGAACCACAGCATCCTGCCCATGCAGAAACGTCGAATCTAATAAACAATGTTTGCTCCTGGCAGCCCAGGTGGTGCATTCACCATGTTAGCCCAGCCTGAGCACAGGCACTCAAGAACGGCTGGAAATTCTCCCTTTTGCATTGTTCTTATGGTCGTCTTTAGTGAGAAGCTCCAGATCCAACCAGTCATATAATTTCAGAGGTTTCATACAGAAAGMTTCCTTCCTCCCCATCTCTGATTGCTTTTCTTCCTCCCTCTGATATTTGTATTTCTCTGTGTAATACAGTGAATTAAAATGAGCCACGCTTTGTATCCCATACCTCAAAGCTCACATATCTCTTTAGCTTCCTTCTAACACCCACAAGCATCCATTTGCCTTTGAGTAACATGGTGGACATAGTCTTTTCAAATACAGGTCTTCCACTCACTGCAAAAAAATCAGAAAAAAAAAAAAAAAAGAGCATAGTCTAGCCAATATATAAGGTTGGACCTTGACAATGTTCCCATAGAAAAGGAAAAAATATTCCATAGTTCCTTTATAGGTACAATTACATATTTCAGTCATTTTTCTAAGGTAACTGCAACTTGAATGTTTCTTTGACAAACAGCTGTGACATTAAACTATTTGAAATATCTCAGCTTCAAACTACTTGTTTTATTACTTTTATTAACCCACACAAGTTCCCAATACATCGTAGTTGAAAAGATCATGAACCTCTTATTTATAAGCAAATAGGAAAGTCAGTGCATGTACTGCATGCAAGGAATTTTTTCTAGGTAGAGAGCAATAAATAGCAGAATCCCCCAAATACTTAATTTTTACACTGCCTTTGGCATTTCAGTTAATGTTTGCTGGTATAGATAATTATATTTTATCAAGCAGAAAGTTAGGTCACTTTCATTTCACTTTTCAAAAAMTGTCACCTGCAATGATATTGTTCTCTGCTGTCAGATTTCCCTTTTATGTAAGTTTATGAGTTTATTGTGATAGCATTCAAAAGGCTGTGCCTGAAAAGTTCTGTAACATATGGCATATATTTAACATGGCTTGTGAATTAAAAATAACAGCCTGCCATCTGCCTTTGTGAGCAGATTTTATCAAAGTCTAAATGAAAGCTCAAAGATGTGAATGTTGTCAATTAAAATATGAAACACTCAGGTTCATGACAGGGTAAAAGTGCTCAGATTCACCTTACTTGAACTTGTCCCTACCAGCCTAGTAGATTAGACGATGTGTTTGAGCAGTTGCTTCATATAGGAATAAATCATCATATTGATCCTTGAGGATATGTCTTGTTTTGAGAAAAAATAAACTTCACAAGCCTATTGCCCATTGGTCTATGAGAAATGAACTGTTTGAAAAGGTGTTATATTAGTAATTTACACACTGCCTTCTTTCCCTATTGAAGTTAGAGCCAGTAATATTTGATCATTTGTTGATTTTTTGGCTTTGCGGCTTTTTTATTAAGAATTGGAGACTTTTTTTAAATATTTTGAAATGAGGTAAACATCCAAATGAAAATTAATTTGAAAACAAACTCTAGTCRTTTCATCTTGAAAATATCAGAAAGAAACATTTATATTAAGAAAGTCCTCTTCCTCAATTTCACTTTTTTTGGTTAAAATTATTCACTAACTTTTTGAAGGGTATAATAACCTCCTGGCTGACAATGTCTGCCCATAGCTTTCCATATTCTTATGACTTTTTGATTTGATTACTGCAACTTTTTACCCCAAGAAATTTCAGCTAGTATAAGAGGAGTTGTCAAGAGAAAATTGTTCCAGTTTTGTCCCCTTTCCCCTGCAGCTTACTGAATCCAAAATGCAGTTAAAAATCAGTATTTTCAAAAATTTTTTTTTCAAGATCMGTCAAAAACAGACATAAGGTTTTGCCTTCTCTCTCTCCCTCCTTCTCCCCACCCCTCCACCCACCCAAAAAAGGAAAAAGAATGTATGTACTATTTTACAAGTGTGTGAATGGGACTCAGATCTTAGAAGCCTTATCAGCTGAACTCTGGATATTCTTTATATTTATTTAATTTATTAAACCACGATCATCTTCCTCATCATCATCTATTAAAGACATTTTTTCAACTTGGCACTCCCTWACTAAATTCTTTACACAAACTTAAAATTTATCAAGCTTTTTAACAASCTGAGAAGGCAGAGAGACAGCATCTTTTGCTACTACTTCTAATATAACAGGATTTCATATGTTTTGATGGTGCGCTGTAGGTATGTTCTAATGTTCCATGATATGTGTTACTGGAAAAAGAAAAGAATCTGGTCAGTATTTCAATCAGTCACTATATCCTTTTGTCTTGTGTAATTCCACATCATGCAGAAAGCTGCAAATTCGAATGAAATTGAAGTTGCATATRTGTACAGTGTGGAACTGAATCTTATCACTTTTGGTTGACCTAAACCTATATGCTGAATGCTTTCAGACAGAAGGACTTGAGAGCTTTATATGGAATCTGACTCAAATTCTGTGCTTAAAGTCTATTCTTGGCAYGTTTAGTGAAGCTATTGAGTAACTTGAAAGAATACAAAGAAATTAGATATTAATATAAAGTAATTATAAACAAGATTTTAATTATATGTTTTTGCATATATAGGCTTGAGATACCCTTTTGAGCAGCACCAAGATCTAAAGTTGAGCAGGATGAGTTACAATCAACATATGATGCAGTCAAACATACATTAAACCTACAGTCTGGGTTTGATTCCCGCTTAACTAGGGAAGTATTGGAGAAAATCCATTTTGTTTTGTTTTGTTTTGTTTTTAACTGAGGGAAAAGACAGATATTACAATCTTATCCTCTGCAATATGTAGAGCAAAAGGCATGACTCCAAATGTGTATATTTAGGAGGAAAGATAGCTTCTTTATGAAACTGAATGAGTTCCTCATTGTGAAGCTGCATTGGCATTGTGAGATGTCAGGAAACAAAAATCTCTAAATCAGTTACCATAAAACAGGAAAAAAATGTTCTTCAAAAATGAAGTAACTCAAATTCATCTTCAAAAGAGAGAGAGAAAAAATAAAAGATATAAATATATAGGAAGGTCTTATATCAGACACTCCAAAACACTCTTCAATCTCACTCACTTCCATGACTGCCAAAGAGTTGTGATTCCCCCCATAGAAACTCTTTTGGAATACATTTTGATAAATGCATTGGATGAAATGCATTAAATTTTCACAGCCTGCCAAGTTCAGTGTATCAGAGTCCTCTCAGATACAGTGAATTTGGCTGGCTGCAAACATTTAATATCCTCTCTGTAGGACAGCCTGAACTTTTAGAGTCTGACAGATCCTCTGGCCCAGACTTGTTCACTCGTATATCACCATCTTGTTCCCTTCACTGGCTAAATAAATAAACAAAAGCAGAAGGGAAAAAAGCTGTGTGAATGTTTCTCATAGATCTGGTGAAGCTCTTGCTTTATATTCAGTGGAACAAGGGAAACAGCAATCACAGGCAAGAGTGGTTTTGTGGTTAAAGCATAGGACTTGGAGTCAGGAGACTTGGGCTCCCTTTCCCAATTGCCACAGATGTCCCATGTGACCTTGAAGATGGATTCTGAGTGTTCAAATTGAAATTCAAGTTTGATTATGATAGGAGTAGAAGCAGAATCCTAAACTTTCTCCTTTTTATTTTTTTTAATTTGGAAA